CACCCTCAGGAATGCTCTTAACACTCCTCTGCCAGAAGAGGTGTCATCCCGTTGTACAGAGGAGGAAGCTGAGGCAGAGAGGCGGTCACTAGGCCCAGGTATGGAGCTACCCAGTAGCAGAGGCTGAAGCTGAACGTCATTGGCCTCCAGAAATGAGCTCTAACCGCTGTGCACAGTAAACCGTGGTTAGTGTTGTGTTTTACATCACCGTTATTATTATTGTTTCACTTGCGCCCCTATTTCCACTTCCCCACCGTAAAAGAGCCAGTGACGACAGGGAAAGGAGAACTGCAGGGCAGGGGCCAGGCTTTGCTTATGTAAGACGGTGGCAGCGCGCAGCGTAGGCCCGCGGAACTGCCCCAGAACCTGCGCCCACGTTGCGTGCGGGGAACCCACGGCCGCGTGGGCGTGAGAGGTGTGCGGGCGCGTTTGCTACCCGAGGCTGTCTGTGCACCTGTGCGTGCCAGAGTGTACCCTGCAAGCTCTGGGGTGTCCTCTGCTCGCTCCACACCTCCGCGGGCCGCCTGCGTCGTGAGGGCAGCGTCATTTAAAATTGTCCGTGTTTGTCTCTCTAGTTGCTCGGTTGACTTTTTTTTTCTGCTTTGCTTGGCATGACTTGAAATTCCAGGTAGCGCATTAACCTGGTGTTTATGCTGGGATGCGGACAGGTTGGGAAGCTGTTTTGAATGGGGGCGTTTTGGAGGGCGGGTGGGAGAGGTTCCTCGCTGGAGGCCTGCCCTCCCGGCTCCAGCCTGGCTGCTGCCCTGAATGAGAGAAGGGCCTCCCGCAAGGCCGCCTGTTCGCACCTGTCTGTCTGGGCGACAGCAGCCGGACTCTGGCCTAGAGGAGACAGGGTGGAAAGACTCAGGGGTGCACCGAGCTTTGCTTGGTTGCTTGGAATACAGAGCCCGGCGTTAAGGGTCAATGTGGCGGAGTGGCCTGGCCCAGGCGGCCTGCGTTAGTGGCCGGCCTGGAGAAGACTGACTCCCTCCTCCTTTTAAAGGAGATGACTTGTATGTGTCTTTTAATGTAGAGTCAAAGAAAGAGCAGCACGTTCGCAAACAGATTTCTAAGCTATAGAGCACCCACAGTGAGCCATGTTACCTGTTAACAGTACTCCCTGAGGGTGCAATGTTAGTGAACAGCCTCCCTGTTCACCTGAAAGCATCTAATGAGAGAGGAATCGAGAGCTGGGGGGTCCGAGGCGCACCCCAGGACAGGGTGAGATAAGAGCATCTGCCCAGCGCCCCTTGGGGTCGGCTGCCCCCTTGTTTCCAGCATTGGTCGTCTCAGTGCCCCGCGGGAGTTCCTTGTCAAAACACACCTTCAGCCGCATGTTTCAAATTAGCCGGCAAATAGGGTTAGCTCTTGTCAGTGTTTGGATAGTATTTAGCTCTAATGGATGCTTTTAAATTGCGTCTCTGTTCCAGAGTGGGGGTGATATTTTCTATCCAGTTCTTACTGTCTTAAAGAACATTTACGGAGGGAGAAGAGCTCGCAGAGCTGGGCGGCGTAACTGATTGGAACCCAGCGATTAGCGCCGGGTCTCTCGTTTTACTTTGGAGCTCTTTCCTCGGGTGTGCTACAGTGTGATTAAGTGAAAAATATGCAGCGGCATAAAACTTGTAGATGCACTTTTCAGCTGCATTGCTAGTTTCTTTGGAGGCAAAAGTAATTAAATTATTTCCAGTTCTCTGGAGCGTTTTCCGAGAAGGAGCCGAGGCAGCCGAACAGAAGCTTCATGGAAAAGAAAGTGAAAGCGCGCAGGGCGATGGGGAGATACCGGGGCTTTCCGTGGGCACAGCAGCAGAACTCGCTGTTGCCAAACAAAGGGACACAGTTCCCAGATAAGCGCTGTTTGCACAGCCATGTGCCTGAGGTTAAGGTCTGGGAGCCGGAGAGGGCAGGGGAAAGGTGAATGAAGGCCCTGGCCTCGGCTCTGCCGGCGCAGGTTGTCACGAAGCTGGTCCCACCACCGCTGTCCCACCTTCCCCTTCCATCCCCTGCTGACCGCAGGTGTGTCTCGTGCTGCGTCGGCTCCAGCTGTGAGACCCCTGCCACATGCAGCCGCCCTCCAGAAAACCCTCTCGGTTGTGTAGCGGGGTTCAGCCTTCTGTTGCTTGATGTTGAAATGGTTTATTAATTGAGAAATTCTTTGCTTGCTTTGGGAAAAAAAGACCTCAGGAATAAAGCGGGTGGGGCGATGGCTGGTGGTTCAAGGGAGCTTGTTCCTGTGGATGCAGATCGTGGCCTGGAGGCTCCTGCTCTGGGGCCAGAGGAGGGGCGTTCCCTCCCCTCCTTGGAGAAGCCCCTCACACCCCACAGATGCTGCTAGATATTGCTTCTATTTAACTTCTAAAACTCCAGTCCTGATAGCTGACTGTTTCAGAGGGAGACGCTTAAAACTCAAGCAATAAGAACTTAAAAGCTGGATTTAAACAGTTCATATAATTGGGTTTCTCTGAGGAGCTGACTTGGAAACTTAAGGGCTTCTCGTGAGCACTGTTGTGTTTGGGATAGGGACGCTCTAGGGTCAAACTCAGGGTCTCTGCCCGCTCACAGGTGTTAGGTGGATGTTAACCCTTGACATTCCGGCCACTTAGGACGGCTAACTAGTGGGAAGGATCTGCTTTACTAGCATCCGGTGACCCTGCCTCCTGCTGGTCCAAGAAGGGGGCCCCTCCCAGACGGTCAGGGCCTTGCCACCGTGCATGGGTGGAGGGAATTTAATCCCCATTGTGGATAACACCTTAATACGCTGAAAGAAGATTACTTATTTTTAAAACCTCCCTTCCATTTTGTTCTCGTCCATTTGACAAATGGGGCATTATCATTCCCAGGGAGGTGGAGGCAGAGGCTGGCCCCGGAAAGGATTTGGCCCTAATGGGGGTCCGAGCCGACCCCACGGGCACAGTGGTGGTGTTTTGTCTGGCTGTGTCAAAACGGTGAAGCAGGTTCAGACTGCCTTGTTAATGAACTTTTCCAGCTGGACGCAGGGGAGGCCCAGAAAGGGCTTTGTGCTGACTGGTTGTCCCTAGAGTGCGGAGGGCCTCGGGGAGACCCCCAGGGTGTCACTTGGAAAAGATGTTTTGACCTGAAACTGTCCCATTTAGTGCTTGTACTTACTTTAGTGACATGGCTTGGAGGGTTAATTATGAGCTTTGGAGTCCTACATTCTAGAAGTTTTAAAGTCCTTATATTTTATTTTATCTTATTTATTTATTGCTTTTAATCAAGTGCTTGTGTCCTCTGTGTGTCCGAGAGTGGGTGGTGGGAAACTTTCTGTAGCGCTGGATACAAAAGAAACCAAGTTCTTTCTTGCTCGAGTCAAGGCACTAATTAAGCTGTTTTCTTGGTAAAATTCTGATTAGCCTGGTATAGAAGGTTCTAGAGAAATAACAGAAGTACACCAAATCATTGTCTTTTTTTTTTTTTAAGCAGTAAAAGGCAGAGGCTGTAGAGACAAAGGACAGAGAGTTTTCTTGGTGTCATGTCATCGGTGTGTATAACTCATCTGGCATCAAAGTATGTTGCTCCAAAAAGGGTTGTTTATAGATCATTTATTTTTAACATGAATAGAGGACATTTCTTATACAAACATCTTTTCGTTCCAACCCTTTGTGAACTCTGGAGATGACGGAAATATGTAACTAATCCATGTGAATTAATCTTTTGAAAGCGATGTCACAAGAATGGGTGAGAATAAGAGTTGTCCGTTTTTTATTTTTTTCTAGATATGTGGCATCAAGGTCTTTGATCATGGACATTGGAAGGCGACCCCCGCCGGGGCTCGGTGTGCAGGTCCCGTCTTTGTCCCAGTGGCAGGGGGCAGGGTGTGTGCACAGAGCCCACAGAGCTGGGTGTGGGGCGTGGTTTAAGGAAGCAGCCAGTGGATGAAGAAAAAGACGGTGTCCTAGCCCAGAACCGAGGGCAACAGCACACCCCGACAAAGTGGTTATTTTGATAATCTTGGTATTTTAGATTCTGATGAATCCACCAGAGAATTAAAGAATTTTTCTCTTCCTTCCCAAGTGACTCCCTGCAGTGGGGGGTCAGTCTGGCCTTACCCTCGGCCTCCTTGTGACTGGGCTGACTCCCTCCGCCCCCCCTCGGTCGTCCAGCGCCCGGCAGCCCTGCCTCCCGCCCGCCCCTCCCAGCCCGTGCACACCTGGCGCCTGCCTGGCCCCGTACCTGCCTGGCGCTGTGCTCGCTTGGCGTTCTGCCGGGGTGGCCGACCTCTCATTTCACATCTGCTCCTGCGGAGGGTTCTGTGGCAGAAACTACATATTTCTCTGTTTGGATAGCTATTGTCTCTCTACAATATTTTATGACTTAGGAATATACTTTGGTTTATTCCTGATATAATTACTTGTCTTATAGATTCTTAAATGAGCTCACTTTATAATTCTGTTTTTGATATGGCTGTATAACTTTGTAATTTTTTGATATTTTATATGTTCTTTGAACTATTCCCACGTGATACATTAAAACCGTGATACGTTAAAAATTACTTAGGTAGAAAAAATTTCTTGTGTTCTGGGTAAATTTTTTAATTCTTCACTTGTAACATCTATAATTTATGTTCTTTTGAAGACTCATTTTAGCAAGAGAAGATGGCAAATATCTTTTACTCTGTACGTCTGTGGAAATGTCTGGGGAATTTAAAAATCAGCTGTTGTGGAGAAATAGAACAAGGCAATATTTAGAGGAAAAACTTTCGTTACACGTGGACAGAGCATAACTAGATTTGGGCAAGACAAAGTTTAGCTCCTCAGAAATCCATCAGAAAGCAAAGCTTTGGAGTATTGTCTCTAGTTTTAAAACTATTACGTCATAGAAAGGATGTGAATCTGAATGTTTGCCCAAGTTTGAAATTCTAACTTCTTGTCCTTGCTGACGTGTAAAGTCCAGACTATTTTATTCAAAGAAATAAAGATGCCTGTGTATGAGCCCTCCTTTCTCCTGTATGCAGTTTCAGCCTTTACCTGTCTGTCTTCCAGGTGGTGGTCTGTCACGCGGTGGGCCAGGCCGCCCAGTTCTCGGTCAGCGTGGGGCCCGCCTCGGCCGTGGGCGGGGGACGCCGGCTGTACGACGTGCGGCTCTCCCCCTTCCATCTACAGGTAAAGCGGGTAGACTTTGCAGGTCATGGGGAGAGTCCCCATACACTTGTAGGGCAAGCGTGGTGTGAGTTACAGGGTAAATATTCATGTTTTTATTAGTTACTCTTCATGGCATAATTTTCACACTGTAAGATTCCAGATTGTATTGTATGTGTAAGAAGTAAAAGTGTGACACCACACACACATTTTATATTTATATATGTGTGTGTGTATATAATATATAATTATATGTAAT